CACCATCGGAAGCACAAGGCTCTCTGCGAGATGCTTGAGCGCAAGGGCGTTCTTCATCGGGAGAAGCAGCGTACTGATGGTACGGCTTAAGCCGACCAACGTAAAACGTGGGATGCGTTCGCATCTTACGTGGTAACTCGATCGTGTATGCATTGCCTAGGCGATGCAATACACAAAATGGGCCGATGTACTTGGGTAGTAGTTTACTGCTACCCAAGTTAGTCACTACATGCTTTGGTAGATTAACCGTAGACAGTAGGACTAAGTCACCTTTATTAAATAAAAGAGTGTTTGCCCTTCCATTCTTGTCAGCGTTTTGCTTTTGCTTATCCACCGCTTCGGCGATGGAGTCTTGCACAAAACGGACTACCGTTTCACGAGCCAGTATGAACTCATCTGATGACTCGTTAGCTTCAGTGTGCTGTGAGCGCACTGCAGCAACATCAACCTTTTCTTCAGTGAGGGCTTCCGCACTCTCACTGGGATCATCTTCTTCAGTGAGGGCTTCCGCACTCTCACTGGCATCATATTCTTCGATACCGATGTTATCGATATCGGCATCAAACGCAATGACTTCTTCGTCAGAGCGTGATGAGCGTGAACCAAATCGGTTTTTGCTCGCGCGAGTCCCTCCCCCCCTTAAACCAGAGTTACACTCTAGTAAGGTGGGTACACGCGGATGGCGCAAGCCATTCACGTAAAACGGTGTATGTGTCGTGGACGCATGCACCGAGTTGTTGATGGCAAACTCTACCATTGGCAAAAACTCACTCCAACTCTTAAAGGAGTGTACGTATCCTCGAAGTATCTCTTCAAGGACACGATTGGCACGTTCCGTCTGACCATCTGACTCTGGATGATCAGATGTTGACATCTTCAAGCGCGTTCCGAGTGATTTGAACACGGAACGCCAGAAATCAGCAGTGAATCGTGGATCTCTGTCTGATACGAGTTCACGGGGCAACCCATGAAGTCGGAAGATGGTGTCAATAAAGACACAAGCACAGCCACTTGCCGTGATTGTCTCTGGTACAGCCACAAGGTGTACCATTTTGCTGAATCTGTCAACAAATACGAGAATACCCGTATTCCCGCGTGCGTCTTTGGGTAACCCGAAGACGAAATCCATTGAGATGGATTCCCAGCACTCAGCCGGAACCGGTAGAGGCTGTAAAGGTGCACGCAGTGAAGGACTTGACTTCACTCGTTGACAGACTTCGCATGCGCGAACATGCTTTCGCCTAAACTGATACTGGCGGGGCCAGTAAAAGTCTCGACTTACCGTGAGATATGTTTTCTCTCGGCCACGATGTCCTCCTATAGGAGCATCGTGATACTCGAACATGATCCGCAAACGCAGATCAGTATCATCTGGAATGACAACACGTGGTGTGTCACCAGAAACGGCTGTATAATACAGTAAACCGTTACGAGTAGTGTATCGATCTGATGCAGATCGATACGCAGACGACAATCGTTTCAACGATTCTCGAGATGGTTGGGAGAGATGTGTCAACAACTTCACAATCTTACCATCTTGGGCGTATGCCCGCCTCACATCATCATACAACGTTGTAGATGGGACTGAGGACGTCATAACCGCAACAGTGACTGTCTCACTGTTGGGTTTCGCGACTGTTTCAAAGTCGGGACGACGTGAGAGTGCATCAGCGACGACATTAAGTCGTCCTGGTTTGTACAATACCGTAAAGTTGTATTCTGCAAAGAATGACAACCACCGCGCCATTCGTTGTGAAAGGTGCGGGCTGTTCACTGCCGTGCGTAATGACGCATGGTCAGTGTAAACAACGAAGGGTCTATCTCCTAATAGATGGACTCTGAACTTCGCTAGTGCATACTTCATGGCAAGGAGTTCCTTTTCATGCACTGGATAGTTCCGCTCAGCTGGTTGCAGCTGACGCGACTGATAGCAGACGACGCGTTCAACGCCTTCAAGATCGTACTGCATTAATGCACAGCCGATTGCGAAATCGCTGGCATCACAGACCACATGAAATGGCCTGTCCTGATCGGCTATTGCTAGGACTGGGGATTGTATCAAGCTCTGCTTGATACCCTCAAAGGAGCGTTGACATTCAGCGTTCCATAACCACCTCTCGTTCTTTTTCAACAAACGAGAGAGGTGCACAGTCATCTCGGCGTAATTGCGTGAATACTTATGCAAATACGCCGCTAGCCCAAGGAATTTTTGAAGACCTTTGACATCGACCGGCACAGGCCAATCGGTGATCGCCTTGATCGTTTCGGGATCAGGACGTACACCGTTCTTACCAACGATGCACCCAAGAAGTGGTATTTCGCTTGCTGCAAATATACACTTCTTGAGGTTAGCATACAATTGATGCTTTCGCATGATTGTAAGAACTTGTCGGACGTGGTACCTGTGAACCTCAACGTCCGACTTTCCATCCATAGCTCGACTATGGATGAATACGTCATCGAAATAACTCGGCGCGAATTCTCGTACTGGTCTCAACAGATGTGATACACACCTGTTGAACGTGGCAGGGGAATTACTGAGCCCTTGTGGCATTACTAGCCATTCCCAGAGCATGCCGCTAGGCGTGCTAACTGCTGTATAGGGTATATCCCGTTCCTGCATAAGGATTTAATAGAAGCCATCCATCAAATCCATGGACGAAAAGATGGTACTCTTTGACATACCATTAATGATTACGTCCTTCCTCGGTATCGGCGTCTGAGCCGGTACCGTTGCAGCATTCAATTTGTTAAACGCGTGCACTATCCGCCACCCTCCTGTTGCTTTTCACACACAGAAGGTCGGAGAGCTATGTGGGGAAGTTGATTCCCTAACATGGCCCGCAGCTAAACGATCGGCAAAGAACTTGTCGATCGCAAGTACTTGTTCACGAGGCAGTGGCCACTGCTTCATGACACAGTACTTCGAGCCTGGTTTAAGCTCGACCTCGTGTCGAATACCTTTATCCTTCGGTAATTCGCACGGAACAGTTTCAGGGAATACATCCTTGAATTCAACCAAATCTTCATAGAGAGGATTTTTCTTGAGCGATTCCCATGATTGGGAGTCATATCGCTCAATTCGTGTCTTTTCATCTAGGACACTCTCGTCCATAGATGAACTACTGAGAACTCTCTCGTTCTCAGTGAACACTGTTGCTGACCTTATGTCGGTTACACACTCGTCGTCAGCGACGAGTATGCAGATCTGCTTGACTTTGCCACTACGCAGATCACGCAAGAACCTTTTATGCTCGAGCGTTGGCAACTGAGTGATCTCCGAAGTTAACTTCGGAGGCGCAATCAGATCAAGTGTATAAGCGCCTACACTTGATCCGTTATTGACTATGACATTCAATGTCTCTGTCATTTCCTGGGGACTTATTCCCTCAGGCTTCGAAGGACTTATTCCTTCGTCTTCCCGGGGACTTATTCCCGCGGGTTTCGGGGAACTTATTTCCGCCGTATTTGTAATCTTGGGACTTATTCCCTTTACTTCCTCTAGCTGGGGTTGCGCAACCACAGCGAGATCCTCTACGAAAGACTCTCCAGTCGATCTAGGATTATCGTTTCGCTTAACCTGAGCGATCGATTGTTTCTCTTCTAGATGTTCCCCGCTAGGGATACATCTTTGTCCCAGTCCACCCGACTTATTCGAGTGGTGGACCTTCGGCGCAGCCTGTGTTTCCTCACAGCCGCCGGAACTTTGCTCCGAAGTGTAACCGTTTATTACACTAAGGTTTTGTGCAGTCGTACTAACGACCGTACCACAAGTGAGGCCATCGCACTCACTCGTAGTACATCCACACGCTTGTGGACGCTCCAAAACGTTCATCAGATGGCCATCTGATGAACAAGCGGCAGAGCATCGTTACTGTCCGATGTTGCCAGTTTACCCGTGGTTCGTACCTTCTGAGCCACGGTATTCCAAGGATGACATCAAATTTGTCATCCAAATCCAATACGATGAAGTCATCGTCATATTGGGTATCTTCTAGCGTATAGTGGATCTTCACTATACGCTTCATGACTGGTTACGGATGCGCCTGTCGCAAGACGTACCGTCATCCTCGTAGGAGGTGTGTCACATTCACTGAACTTAAAGTGACCATCTTCTAGCGATTGGCGTCGCACAAAATTGTTGGACGCCCCACAATCGACTAGAGCTCGAAGGGACAACTTATTCGTCACTTCGAGTTTCAAGGTAATGAGTGAGATTTCATTACCTAGAGCAGCAACACACAACGTTTGTGTGTTGGGAGCAACCTTCATCAAGAGGCCTGCAAATTCTCTTGACGTTGCTGGACCAGTAGGGTGCTCCGCACCTACTGATCCTGTCCGTTTTTTGACGGTCCATCCCGTTGTTGCGTCTTTGCACCAACAGCGGACCCGCGTCCCTGCCCCTTTCTCATGGGTGGACGGTCACTACGCCCAGTATCGCGAGACACTGGACGAGGGGCACTACACTCGTAAGCGTAGTGTCCTGTCTTCTGACATCTGTTGCATCTCTGCAACTTCTTGTAGTCTGTAGAGCGAGCCTTCTCGCTCTCTACATAACAGAGTTCCATCGCCTCTGGACCTCCGCTGTCATATCGTCTCGGTTGACGATATGATATCGAGCTGGCGCGAGCCTGTCTCAGACTGAAGTCTTCCTGCTCCGCAATGGAAATGGCTTGTTCTAGTGAATCTAGTTCAAGCCGGGACAGGTGAGTCTTGACGGGACCATCCGCAAGACCCTGCATGAACACCGAAGCCAACGTGTGTTCATCCACCGGATTGGAACTTATACAACTCGTGAGATGTCGTATATGTTGAGCGTAAGCGTGCACATCACGCTTACCCTGCTTGAGCTTCAAGAGTTCGGTTCGAGCCCTGAACTCAGCTCTAGGCGGTTCAAACGTTTGTCTGAGCCGCGACTTGAAGACTTCCAACGACCCAAACGCATATGGGTCGTGCAACTTGAGCCCCAGTGCCCAAGTCTTGGCACGTCCTGCCAGATTTTACTGGGCAAATGCAACTTGCATATCCCCGTCGTCGATGCGACGCGCCCTTATGGCGTCATCCAATTCGACGAACCATCTCAAGAGGGAGTCCTCTTCGACTCCCCTACACTTGGAGATGTCAATCTTCAAAGTCTCGGGTCGACGCGAGTGCATCGACCCACCAGCAGCAGCCTGCTGATGTCTCAACAGTTCAAACTGTTGAGCACCCTGTTCTCTCAACAACTCTGATTGTTGAGAAACTTGTTGGTGAAGCAAGGCTACTTTCTCGCGCTCAGCGTCAAGTTCATTTTGAATGAACTTGGCGAAAGTAGCACGTTGGGCATCTCTATTGAGAGCATCTAGCACAACGCTAACAGCATGAATGCCCATGGTTGAACCTACCCGTTCGACCGCATCCCATTCGAAATTGCTCAAATGGGAGTAGCCGTCACGCGTAGCGTGAAAGCTTTGGTCATCATCATCATCTAACATATTCATGTTAAATGTGAACGTGGTCCTTGGACGGACTACGAAGTGCTACCAGGTGTAGCGGGGCACCCTGAAGCTTGTACTGGTGACAGTACAAGCTACTTATTCTGATGACAGAATAAGGCGGTGCCTCGTAACTTCACGTACACTCGTACGTGCAGAGGAAGACGGTAAGAAGAAGCGAGTACTTGGTTAAAGTAAAAAGTAGAACTGTATTTATAATAGTTAATGTCTGCAATAAATCACTATTTATCTTCATCTAACTATGTCTAAATACAAATGTGTAAATCAGTTATCTGCTCACCACTCATTGCGTGCGTCTGTCGTGGCGCGTCTTCGTTGGTTGATATAATGGCCTATATCAACCAATTAGGAACTACTCTTAAGTGCTACAGAATATTTGTCCTTATGACAATATTCTGAGAATATAACTCTTATAGTTATATTCTATTAACAATTTCTTATAAATTGTTATGTAACGATTCACCCCGTTACAGTATTCCTTCGCCCACGTCCCAGAGACTAGTACTATTCTAATGACCTACCACATTTGCCGCTGAAGCACCTGCTTCGAGTCAAATGGTGACATTGGATCATGCAGTCTGACGACTCATAGACTTGCAGCGCGATGGACGAGGTAGCTTAAGACTCGGGTTGTTCAAAAAAAGATGCACTAAAAGTTGCACGCGGGTTGACACAGCACTTCGAAGCGCAATGTGAATTCCACGTATCTGACGCTTTAATCCAATGAATGGGCGATTGCATAGTTCCATTAATTGCTATACACGCATACGTAGCTCCGCGTATTGCTGATCGCACAATTCATTAGTACGGGACAAACAGCTTTCTCCCGTTTTCAAGCTTGAAAAGGACGTAAAGCTCAGCTTGTTTCATTTGTCGACACTGATGCTGGCAGCACCTTCTGCTTGCTGACTGTAACGGGGTGAATCGTTACATAACAATTTATAAGAAATTGTTAATAGAATATAACTATAAGAGTTATATTCTCAGAATATTGTCATAAGGACAATATTCTGTAGCACTTCCAAGTAGTTCCTAATTGGTTGATATAGGCCATTATATCAACCAACGAAGACGCGCCACGACAGACGCACGCAATGAGTGGTGAGCAGATAACTGATTTACACATTTGTATTTAGACATAGTTAGATGAAGATAAATAGTGATTTATTGCAGACATTAACTATTATAAATACAGTTCTACTTTTTACTCTAACCGAGTACTCGCTTCTTCTTACCGTCTTCCTCTGCACGTACGAGTGTACGTGAAGTTACGAGGCACCGCCTTATTCTGTTATCAGAATAAGTAGCTTGTACTGTCACCAGTACAAGCTTCAGGGTGCCCCGTTACACCTGGTAGCACTTCGTAGTCCGTCCAAGGACCGCGTTCACATCCAACATGAATATGTTGGATGATGAAGATGACCAAAGCTCTCACGCTACGCGTGACGGCTACTCCCATTTGAGCGATGTCGAATGGGATGCGGTTGAACGAATGGGTTCGACCATGGGCATCCATGCTGTTAGCGTCATGCTAGAGGCTCTCAATAGAGATGCCCAACATGCTACTATCGCCAAGTTCATTCAAAATGAACTTGACGCTGAACGCGAGAAAGTAGCCTTGCTTCACCAACAAGGTTCTCAACAAGCAGAGTTGTTGAGAGAACAAGGTGCTCAACAGTTTGAACTGTTGAGACAGCAGCAGGCTGCTGCTGGCGGGTCGATGCACTCGCGTCGACCCGAGACTTTGAAGATTGACATCTCAAAGTATAGGGGGGTCGAAGAGGAATCCCTCTTGAGATGGTTCGTCGAATTGGATGACGCCATAAGGGCGCGTCGCATCGACGACGGGGATATGCAAGTTGCATTTGCCCAGTCAAATCTGGCAGGACGTGCCAAGACTTGGGCACTGGGGCTCAAGCTGCACGACCCATATGCGTTTGGGTCGTTGAAAGTCTTCAAGTCGCGGCTCAGACAAACGTTTGAACCGCCTAGAGCTGAGTTCAGAGCTCGAACCGAACTCTTGAAGCTCAAGCAGGGTAAGCGTGATGTGCACGCTTACGCTCAACATATACGACATCTCACGAGTTGTATAAGTTCCAATCCGGTGGATGAACACACGTTGGTTTCGGTGTTCATGCAGGGTCTTGCGGATGGTCCCGTCAAGACTCACCTGTCCCGGCTTGAACTAGATTCACTAGAACAAGCCATTTCAATTGCGGAGCAGGAAGACTTCAGTCTGAGACAGGCTCGCGCCAGCTCGACATCATATCGTCAACCGAGACGATATGACAACGGAGGTCCAGAGCCGATGGAACTCTGTTATGTAGAGAGCGAGAAGGCTCGCTCTACAGGCTACAAGAAGTTGCAGAGATGCAACAGATGTCAAAAGACAGGACACTACGCTTACGAGTGTAGTGCCCCTCGTCCAGTGTCTCGCGACACTGGGCGTAGTGACCGTCCACCCATGAGAAAGGGGCAGGGACGCGGGTCCGCTGTTGGTGCAAAGACGCAACAACGGGATGGACCGTCAAAAAACGGACAGGATCAGTAGGTGCGGAGCACCCTACTGATCCAGCAACGTCAAGAGAATTTGTAGGCCTCTTGATGAAGGTTGCTCCCAACACACAGACGTTGTGCGTTGCTGCTCTAGGTAATGAGATCTCACTCATTACCTTGAAACTCGAAGTGACGAATAAGTTGTCCCTTCGAGCTCTAGTCGATTGTGGGGCGTCCAACAATTTTGTGCGACGCCAATCGCTAGAAGATGGTCACTTTAAATTCAGTGAATGTGACACACCTCCTACGAGGATGACGGTACGTCTTGCGACAGGCGCATCCGTAACCGTCATGAAGCGTATAGTGAAGATTCACTATACGCTAGAAGATACCCAATACGACGATGACTTTATCGTATTGGATTTGGATGACAAATTTGATGTCATCCTTGGAATACCGTGGCTCAGAAGGTACGAACCACGGGTAAACTGGCAACATCGGACAGTAACGATGCCTGCCGCTTGTTCATCAGATGGCCATCTGATGAACGTTTTGGAGCGTCCACAAGCGTGTGGATGTACTACGAGTGAGTGCGATGGCCTCACTTGTGGTACGGTCGTTAGTACGACTGCACAAAACCTTAGTGTACCAAACGGTTACACTTCGGAGCAAAGTTCCGGCGGCTGTGAGGAAACACAGGCTGCGCCGAAGGTCCACCACTCGAATAAGTCGGGTGGACTGGGACAAAGATGTATCCCTAGAGGGGAACATCTAGAAGAGAAACAATCGATCGCTCAGGTTAAGCGAAACGATAATCCTAGATCGACTGGAGAGTCTTTCGTAGAGGATCTCGCTGTGGTTGCGCAACCCCAGCTAGAGGAAGTAAAGGGAATAAGTCCCAAGATTACAAATACGGCGGAAATAAGTTCCCCGAAACCCGCGGGAATAAGTCCCCGGGAAGACGAAGGAATAAGTCCTTCGAAGCCTGAGGGAATAAGTCCCCAGGAAATGACAGAGACATTGAATGTCATAGTCAATAACGGATCATGTGTAGGCGCTTATACACTTGATCTGATTGCGCCTCCGAAGTTAACTTCGGAGATCACTCAGTTGCCAACGCTCGAACATAAAAGGTTCTTGCGTGATCTGCGTAGTGGCAAAGTCAAGCAGATCTGCATACTCGTCGCTGACGACGAGTATGTAACCGACATAAGGTCAGCAACAGTGTTTACTGAGAACGAGAGAGTTCTCAGTAGTTCATCTATGGACGAGAGTGTCCTGGATGAAAAGACACGAATTGAGCGATATGAGTCCCAATCATGGGAATCGCTCAAGGAAAATCCTCTCTATGAAGATTTGGTTGAATTCAAGGATGTATTCCCTGAAACTGTTCCGTGCGAATTACCGAAGGATAAAGGTATTCGACACGAAGTCGAGCTTAAACCAGGCTCGAAGTACTGTGTCATGAAGCAGTGGCCACTGCCTCGTGAACAAGTACTTGCGATCGACAAGTTCTTTGCCGATCGTTTAGCAGCGGGCCATGTGAGGGAATCAACTTCCCCACATAGCTCTCCGACCTTCTGTGTGCGAAAAGCAACAGGAGGGTGGCGGATAGTGCACGCGTTTAACAAATTGAACGCTGCAACGGTACCGGCTCAGACGCCGATACCGAGGAAGGACGTAATCATTGATGGTATGTCAAAGAGTACCATCTTTTCGTCCATGGATTTGATGGATGGCTTCTATCAAATCCTAATGCGGGAACGGGATATACCCTATACCGCAGTTAGCACGCCTAGCGGCATGCTCTGGGAATGGCTAGTAATGCCACAAGGGCTCAGTAATGCCCCTGCCACGTTCAACAGGTGTGTATCACATCTGTTGAGGCCAGTACGAGAATTCGCGCCGAGTTATTTCGATGACGTATTCATCCATAGTCGAGCTATGGATGGAAAGTCGGACGTTGAGGTTCACAAGTACCACGTCCGACAAGTTCTTACAATCATGCGAAAGCATCAATTGTATGCAAACCTCAAGAAGTGTATATTTGCAGCAAGCGAAATACCACTTCTTGGGTGCATCGTTGGTAAGAACGGTGTACGTCCTGATCCCGAAAAGATCAAGGCGATCACCGACTGGCCCGTGCCGGTCGATGTCAAAGGTCTTCGAAAATTCCTTGGGCTAGCGGCGTATTTGCATAAGTATTCACGCAATTACGCCGAGATGACTGTACACCTCTCTCGTTTGTTGAAAAAGAACGAGAGGTGGTTATGGAACGCTGAATGTCAACGCTCCTTTGAGGGTATCAAGCAGAGCTTGATACAATCCCCAGTCCTAGCAATAGCCGATCAGGACAGGCCATTTCATGTGGTCTGTGATGCCAGCGATTTCGCAATCGGCTGTGCATTAATGCAGTACGACCTTGAAGGCGTTGAACGCGTCGTCTGCTATCAGTCGCGTCAGCTGCAACCAGCTGAGCGGAACTATCCAGTGCATGACAAGGAACTCCTTGCCATGAAGTATGCACTCGCGAAGTTCAGAGTCTATCTATTAGGAGATAGACCCTTCGTTGTTTACACTGACCATGCGTCCTTACGCACGGCAGTGAACAGCCCGCACCTTTCACAACGAATGGCGCGGTGGTTGTCATTCTTTGCAGAATACAACTTTACGGTCGAGTACAAACCAGGACGACTTAATGTCGTCGCTGATGCACTCTCACGTCGTCCCGACTTTGAAACAGTCGCGAAACCCAACAGTGAGACAGTCACTGTTGCGGTTATGACGTCCTCAGTTCCATCTACAACGTTGTATGATGATGTGAGGCGGGCATACGCCCAAGATGGTGAGATAGTGAAGTTGTTGTCACATCTCTCCCAACCATCTCGAGAATCGTTGAAACGATTGTCGTCTGCGTATCGATCTGCATCAGATCGATACACTACTCGTAACGGTTTACTGTACTATACAGCCGTTTCTGGTGACACAACACGTGTTGTCATTCCAGATGATACTGATCTGCGTTTGCGGATCATGTTCGAGTATCACGATGCTCCTATAGGAGGACATCGTGGCCGAGAGAAAACATATCTCACGGTAAGTCGAGACTTTTACTGGCCCCGCCAGTATCAGTTTGTGCGAAAGTATGTTCGCGCATGCGAAGTCTGTCAACGAGTGAAGTCAAGTCCTTCACTGCGTGCACCTTTACAGCCTCTACCGGTTCCGGCTGAGTGCTGGGAATCCATCTCAATGGATTTCGTCTTCGGGTTACCCAAAGACGCACGCGGGAATACGGGTATTCTCGTATTTGTTGACAGATTCAGCAAAATGGTACACCTTGTGGCTGTACCAGAGACAATCACGGCAAGTGGCTGTGCTTGTGTCTTTATTGACACCATCTTCCGACTTCATGGGTTGCCCCGTGAACTCGTATCAGACAGAGATCCACGATTCACTGCTGATTTCTGGCGTTCCGTGTTCAAATCACTCGGAACGCGCTTGAAGATGTCAACATCTGATCATCCAGAGTCAGATGGTCAGACGGAACGTGCCAACCGTGTCCTCGAAGAGATACTTCGAGGATAAGTACACTCCTTTAAGAGTTGGAGTGAGTTTTTGCCAATGGTAGAGTTTGCCATCAACAACTCGGTGCATGCGTCCACGACACATACACCGTTTTACGTGAATGGCTTGCGCCATCCGCGTGTACCCACCTTACTAGAGTGTAACTCTGGTTTAAGGGGGAGGGACTCGCGCGAGCAAAAACCGATTTGGTTCACGCTCATCACGCTCTGACGAAGAAGTCATTGCGTTTGATGCCGATATCGATAACATCGATATCGAAGAAGATGATGCCAGTGAGAGTGCGGAAGCCCTCACTGAAGACAATGATCCCAGTGAGAGTGCGGAAGCCCTCACTGAAGAAAAGGTTGTTGTCGCTGCAGTGCGCTCACAGCACACTGAAGCTAACGAGTCATCAGATGAGTTCATACTGGCTCGTGAAACGGTAGTCCGTTTTGTGCAAGACTCCATCGCCGAAGCGGTGGATAAGCAAAAGCAAAACGCTGACAAGAATGGAAGGGCAAACACTCTTTTATTTAATAAAGGTGACTTAGTCCTACTGTCTACGGTTAATCTACCAAAACATGTAGTGACTAACTTGGGTAGCAGTAAACTACTACCCAAGTACATTGGCCCATTTCGTGTATTGCACCGCCTAGGCAATGCATACACGATCGAGTTACCACGTAAGATGCGAACGCATCCCACGTTTTACGTTGGTCGGCTTAAGCCGTACCATCAGTACGCTGCTTCTTCCGATGAAGAACGCCCTTGCGCTCAAGCATCTCGCAGAGAGCCTTGTGCTCCCGATGGTGGGCATCAACAAGGGTCTGAAGAGCAGTTATCTCAGCCCGAGACCGATCAACAATCCCACGAGCTACCCTTAGCTCGTCACGAAGAGATGTCAGAGATCTCTCGTTCTCAAGCTGAGCAAAGGCAAACTCAGCTCGATGCTTCGAGGCAGTGTCCACCATCTGGAGACGCCTATTCCGCTCATGCTCGAGATCGTCGCGTAACCCTTGCGTTACGCGATCAAAGAAGCTCTCGGGAACACACCGATCCACATGATCGTGTGGAGAGCGTCTTTCCTCCTCCTCCACCTCCATTAGAGGACTCTCGCGGTGGCCAGCGCTATCTAGTAGAGCAGCTGTTGAACCACCGCGACGTGAACGGACGTCGGACGAGTTACCTCGTCCGGTGGCGCGGCTATCCCCCGTCCTGGGATTCTTGGGAGCCCCGCTCCCAATTGATGGTTGACGTACTGGGTCTGGTCGAGCAGTACGACGCGACACATCCTGTGCCGCAGAAGGACCGCCGGGGAAAGTCTTCCCGGCACGGTCGTAAAGGGATTTCAGGTTGTCAATCCCTTCGTACATCTCAGTAGAGACACGTACGCGCCACCACGGGCTGGTAAGGAGGTAAGCCTCCTTAGGTGCTCGTGCAGAGTTGTTCACACAACATGGGCACGAGTCTCCCCAAGAGAGACAGGGTAATCCTTTCTCCCTTGACAGACGATGCAGCTTATAGCGTGCACCTGTCGGGGTTCGCTTTTCAAACTTATCACGAGCTTTGATAAGTTTGTCGTTCCAAGCGTCACGACCTACATCCTCGAGATTATGGATGTAGGCGTTCCACGCCTGAAGTAGTGAGGGACCATCACGTTTGTGATTCCCACTGTACCATCGATGTCTGAAGAAAGCATCGATGAAGAACTCATGTTCAGCGCGATAGTCTTTCGCGCTGGGGTCAAGGTGATGGATCCTTGACGAATCGAACAATCGTGTTCGATAACGATCACTCGTCGTCGCCGACAAGTGATCCATGACAGATTTAGGAGGCATCCATGCCTTCTTTTCTGGAGCGAGACGCAACACATTGCGGTCCCGCTCTTCCTGCGACGTGCCGACAGAAGTACTGGCACCTCGCTGTGAAGTGGTGTCCATTGGAGAAACGACACCACTATTAGCGCCCGAGTCTCGCGACCTCGAGCGCCTTCGCTTCGGCGATGGTTCATCTGACTCATCAGATGAACCAAAGATGCTGCGACGCAAAGCATCGTCCATGCCACGCTTGGCAGGCGGCTTGGATTCAATTGCCGTCGATACGGATCCGTCATCCGTATCAGGAGAGTACGAGACACCGAGCTCGTACTCTGTGAAGACACGAGTGTCTTCATGACCAGCGCCTGCATCACCAGGTGATACAGGCTGAGTCGATTCAGCAACCGATGGGATATCAGTTGCTGTAGTTTCTGCTTCGGCGTCCGCACAGAGACGTGCAGACGCGCTCTCGGCGGCCTTGCTCGCGCATCGCATGGGCTTGTTTACCATGCGATGAGATGTTGGAAAGTGGACGCGGACCAACAAGTGCAAAACCCCGTCCCAAATGATTTGGGACGAGTATCCATTTAGTCAATCAGTCACTAAAGTGACTGATGGTTAAGGGGGTGATGTAACGGGGTGAATCGTTACATAACAATTTATAAGAAATTGTTAATAGAATATAACTATAAGAGTTATATTCTCAGAATATTGTCATAAGGACAATATTCTGTAGCACTTCCAAGTAGTTCCTAATTGGTTGATATAGGCCATTATATCAACCAACGAAGACGCGCCACGACAGACGCACGCAATGAGTGGTGAGCAGATAACTGATTTACACATTTGTATTTAGACATAGTTAGATGAAGATAAATAGTGATTTATTGCAGACATTAACTATTATAAATACAGTTCTACTTTTTACTCTAACCGAGTACTCGCTTCTTCTTACCGTCTTCCTCTGCACGTACGAGTGTACGTGAAGTTACGAGGCACCGCCTTATTCTGTTATCAGAATAAGTAGCTTGTACTGTCACCAGTACAAGCTTCAGGGTGCCCCGTTACACTGACCGACTGTTGGCGAGCTACGGATGATGCATTTCTGATTGCCTCGACTTACGATACATCGCATGAATTTTGTATACTTCATTATAACTATTTTAAGAAACCTGCTTACACGAAAGCTGGAGATCTGCTTCTATGCCCCAAAGAGAAGATGAGGCGCTGGAACCCGGACACAAGGCTCATGCGTCATCCAAAAATCGATGGAAGTACGCAGTATGGCTAGTTGCTCGCTTAACAACACATGGAGATTAAACTGAGACAGCTCCTCATGGACCGGGTCCACGACAAGCTGTCTCTCAGCTTTCCCAGCAAAACCTGGGCCGGGTCAGAGCTCTGATAGGCATTTGCCGACCACATACTGAAAAGGTCGTGGAGGGTTGTCTCTTGTGCCCTTCTCTAGCTTCTTGTCGCTATCGACATCAGGATAATCAGTACAAGCTCGCGGACAACTTTTGTCCTTGACTGGTCAAACACTGAGAGCTCTGTTCAGAGAACACATCAAAACTTGATTTCAAGGGACGCATTGTTTGCACAGCCCTCTACAACTAATTGCCTTGATATTAGTGTCCAGAAGCTGGTTATCTATCACGTACGGACGCACTCAGCGTATTACACCTGTAAGACGGCACCAGAAAATAAGCGAATGTAGCGAAACTAACAACCAGCATATGCTATGCACCCCGTGCTTACCTCCGCTCTGGTCTATCCGTCGCATCCTTCTACCTGCTTGCGCTTCGAGTACGTTATCGTGCTGACTTCATGTTCACTTGGCACCATAACTTTAAACGGATCTGGACTTGCAAAATACAGATCACCATAGTCCTTCTGAAATTCACAATACGTCTACGATCAGCCAACGAGATGTATAAAAGGCGACATAAACATGACCTCACCTTCTCTGCCAGGTGTTCCCGGAGCCAAATCCTCCAAGCATGAAGCATCATTCGCGGTGCCTCGTCTTCCTGTGAGCCATATGTGACATCCCCAGCAATCGGAAAGCCATGATGCGCAAGGTGCAGTCGCAACTGGTGCCGACGACCATTGAGTGGACGCAACAACACCTTCGTGACCGGTTGACCCCTGTACATAGCATGGCCCAAGACAAAAGCAACCGTGGTCGACTGTTTAGCAGATGTGTCGGTCTCACTGCCCACCTGCATGCGAAACACTTTACGACTCCGATGTGGCTCAACAATCGGCGCGTCAAAAACGTAAGCAACAGGCTCGTCAGCTTTGTCACTGCTATCATGACTCTCGTATGCACGCTGACGAGCAAGTCGGGCTTTTTCCTTGCTAAGAAACGCATTGAGCTCGCACAGAAAGCGCTGCTTATCTGTCTTGGCCTTTTCAGTATACGCATCCTTTTCCTCCTTTGTCAGGTCAGTCCATGCCATCTTGGTAAAAGCAAGCTCTGTCGGAGTCAATGCACGAGAATGGGCTCCTGCAATATCCCGTTTCTGACTTTCGCGTAGGAGCCGAGCCTGCTCCATTGTAAACAAATTAGGTCCATTGCGGGCTCCACGTGGATATCCGGACATTTTCTGATGCAGCCGCGAACCACGCTGTTGACTTCGAAGTCTTTCCATCTCCTCCATATCTTGGATTAACAAGCCTAGCTTCGAAAATGTGCAGGCTTTCGCAGGCGCTCCGACCCTATCCACACTGTCGAATGGATTGTGCGGCAGATGACCACGCACCACCGCCAGATACTCTTTTTGCACCTTCTTCTCGCGAAACAGTCGGCAACACGCAGCAGTAGCTCTGTCGAAAGGCACATATACAGACTGAGACACTACTGCCGTTACACGTGCCAAAAGCTACGTCACTCACTCTTTCGTAATCCCGACTAAAAGTACACCCGATGTTGCTGCAAAGATGAAACAGCAATGCAACCAGACAAGTCATGAGTCGTTCATCATTTTAAATTGCCTTGCATCAGCAATACAAACAAACCAAAGTCCAATTGGTGGATCCACCGAAACTTTTCCACCTCTGGAAAGTCTCGCGCTAGCTATATCAGTTGACCACAATTCGGTCAGATCGCTTCTGTATCTATCGCAGTTGTAATGAATGTCAAACATGTACAGACGCACCGCCTTTTCCAACGTCACATCAAAGGCGCCGTCCATCCGCTCGTCCGGCCCCTTGTTCAGCACCACGAAGTGATCGTTTCGAGCGAGTACCCGCAGCTTCAGTTGCTGCAAAGTTCTGGGTCCTCCTCGTTCGTCATCTCCCCACTTGACCGAATCAGTTGAAGTTTCCGAAAGCATGTCGCTTGCTGACAATTGGCTCTGGTGCCGTCGGACTTTTTGCACCGAAGAAGTTTCAGAGCTTTTCGAGACATCTGATGAGAGTGTGGCAAGGTGCGAAGACAAGGAGAGAGTAGAGGCATGTTCTCTGTCAATGGAGGCGCTCATGAATCGCCTCGAATACAAAGGGACGCGGCAGAAGCAAGTCAAGCGTGAGGACATGCAGTCACCGCAGCAAAGAGTTGGTGGGGACTCAATCGAGCAGAGCCGAGGATCACTTGGTCGGCACGTGACGGGCGTTCTACTAAATCAGTACTAGTACTGATCAGGTCGTATGCCGAAATAGAGTTACCTCCCATAGTCATAACAGCATGATATATTTAAATCGCAACTTTTGTTTATTCTTCCGCAGAGAACTACGTCCATGGGTAAAATGAAGGGAAGAGAACACTACCCAGCACAGTAAACAGCAGAAAGTAGCACACGATGACGCGACCGTACCCCGTCAAAACGGGAGACGCTTTCCGTTCAACGGCTGGATCGCATAACAACGCGGCAGGATGCCAGAATAGCGGCGGACACGCACACAACAATCGCGTCGTCACCTGGATGTGAACGACAAGCAGCGCGTTTACTACCAAGAACATCCAGTGGGCATAATAAGGAGCCAACGCAGTGCCTCGGCCGCTTCCTGTATTCACTTCTTGGTAAAGTGTCGCTCGGGATCGTCCAGGCACGACATTGCCGCGAAAGTATCCTCGAAGCGCGGGCACGCTAAGAGAGAGTATCGGCGCAGCGAGAAGGAAATTTGGCAACTGCTTCAACTCGTAGTAGCGGAACAGACCCACATTCCAGTACTCACTCTGGATGAACGTGTACATGGCAGATAAGTTCGGGATCACTTCAGCGCACCAGCTACGATCCTTCATCTCCGCAGTTTCCGAAATCTTCCCGCCGAGGTGCTGCACCAGTGACGGGCAATATGGCACCATCGACACAACGAAATAGATGATCTGAGGTACGATCGCTAGCGCACCGAGAACTGCTGTTCGTATCCAGAAGACGAAGAATCGACACAGCTTTTTTGGTGAGGGCGAAACTGTCAGTCGATGCCACGCGATGAATACTGTCGATAAGAGCCACGAGTCTTAGCACACTCACCGAACATCAACACCTCACAGCTGAACGTACATGATAGCAAAAGACCGTTGGATCGCGTTGCAGAAGCCGCACCAAACAGCATGGCGCAGTACACTAGATCTCGAAACGCTCGACGTGGCTTGGGTGCATGAACGTGTTTGGCCAGATAGTACATGCCGCTGAAGCTGAAGAGACACATGAGACTCTCCGAGTAGACCGCCGACATAAAGATACTTGACGGGGCCACACAAAAGAGGTATGCTGCTCGTCGGGCGACGAGTTCGTCCCCAATTTCGATACAGCCCAAGCGATAGAGGAATAGCGCAGCCAGCACAAAGCTCGCGTTGCTGATGCACCATCCACTAGCGATCACTGCCGACGCGGCATTTAGCGGTATCAAGTGCGACAACCACCGCGTCAACAGCGGATAGAGCGGAAAGAAGGCGTGAAAGTGCTCAAAGTCGTAGCCGTGTTGGGCGATGTGCGAGAAGTAGACGCCGTCCCAGTTGCTCAGCGCTGCGAGCGGGGATCCGCCCGACTGCAGGTGAGACGAAGTGTCGTAAGGGGTCACGATGGTCGACGTCAGCAGTGCCAGTAGCGTCACACTCGCTCGAGTGGCCACTGCAAAGGCGACGACACTCCGTTCCATGTGCATCCTCTACTTCCTTATTCCAATAGGTTCACCTGGGCAGATTGCAAACGGGAATACGTACTCTATTTCATCTATTTAGGGCACCCTAACTTGTCAAGTCGACTCTAACGAAGAAAAAAACACGCAGGACTGACCAGCGTTGCAATCATTGCAGTTCAAATGAGAAGACCCTGGAGCCAAGTAAGTGTATCTTCCGCCCCACCTTCATCCGCTTGTTCCAGCGCTTGCTTCACGGAGCACAAGCTGCGTACGTTGCTGTAAAGATACTGGGCAACCTCTAAGTGGTCCATGTAACATGCAGCATTAAACGCCTCAAAGCCGCTGCAAACGAAGCGATGGTGCTCGATTAGGTACTGAACCACTTGGAGATGTCCGTTCGTGACAGCCAGCTCCAGTGCGATAGGCGTCCAATGTGAGTCGGTTTGATTTGGTTCTTTCTGAGGACTCGAATTCTCCTCGCCTTGAGTGCTGCAGTTGACGTGCAGCCAACGCAACACGTCGATAAAGCCATAGCGAGCTGCTCTGTCGATCGCTTTGGAGCTAGTCTGCCACTTGCTCGTACTTGGATTGTCACGTAGCAACTGAAGGATGCCCACATGACCGCTGGCAGCACCAGCATCCATCACTGTTGTCATCGTACACGGGTCTTTCTCATAAACTGTGCGAAATTGCGCCACCAGCCACTCAGTGCAGTCGTGGTGGCCACCTTCGACAGCAGCAACCAGCGCGTCTGTAGCATCGGACTCGTCGGTGAGATTCATCAGGTCGTTTGCATGCAGGTAAACAAGCACGTCATAGTGTCCGCTGCGAGCTGCATTGGTAACAGCTGCTGCAGTACAAGTCGTACGCTTGTCAACTCCCGTTGACAGCACTGCCGCGTGGTCGTGGAACCACTTGAGTATATCTACCTGGCCGTACGTGGATGCAACATCCATCCAAGACTCCGCATCCTCTTCACACTTGAGTGACTTGACTGGAAGCACGCTCGTAAGCCACACTAGAACAGCTGCTTGGCCATTTGCAATAGCAACGAGCACCATCTTAGAACCGACGCTTGCAAACAACGTGTGGAACCGCGCACTCAGGTACTTGATAATGGACAAGTGGCCACGCCGCGCAGCGTTTATCATAGCGCTCGGCGAGCACATTTCTTTGCGAATGTCGCACAGCCAGCGCACAATGTGCAGGTGTCCTTCCGTAGCTGCATAATTTACAGCACTGGGAGTGCATCCTGCTGAGCGGTTGTCCTGGAGCCATTGCAGCACATGCAGGTGACCACTTTGTGCCGCTAAATCCATCGCGCGAGTGGTCATACCCTCCGTACGATGCTCGTGAAGCCACTGGACCATCGACAAATGGCCGTTGCAAGCCGCGTAGTCCATGGCTTTAGATGTGCAGCCTTCGCTCCGGTTCACATGCAGCCACTGGACGACTTCATAGTGCCCGTTCTTGGCCGCGTCATCCATGGCACGTGTCGAGCAGCCGTTGAGTGGCTCAGTATTATGTAGCCACTTGAGAATGTCCAAGTGGCCGTTGCCAGCTGCAAAGTCCATGACCAGCAACTTGTTGTTGGGGTTGGGAGATCCCGCGCTGACCTTCAGTGCCAAACGCTGCACCAGGAATTTAAATCCCTTGGCTGCCGCGCGCTCTAATGTCCACCCGTTCGAGTAGTCGAGGAACTGGTCCATCGCTCCCCATACGTGCGCCAACTCGCTCACGCGATCGCGGTTGGTGCACACGAGTCTTGCTGCCGTCAGCACCATTTCGATTCAGTGGCGTCTAGTAGTGATCAGGCGGGTGCAGAATGTACGTGACGAGCGGCGTCCAGTCAGAATCCGGCGCGGCGGTTACGGGGTGAAAGAGGAAGTGGCGCTGGACAAAAGCTTGACGTTTTGAAACCTATCGCGACGTCACGGAAATTGCCACGTACTCGCTTCAACGAGAGAAGGACGATTAGCGACATCGAGGCGTCTGCCTGTCGTCTGGGAAATCGAAAGGTTGCGGTACGCGTCTTTGGGGTTTGGGCGTTGATTTACCACAGCCACTCCTTGGTGTGATCACTCGTCCACAGGCTCGGTGATAAGTTGGTAAACCTTCTCGGGTTGCCACAACGGGAACACGACCATTGGTTGGCATGGGGACGGAATTGGACCGTCAGTCGGTGCGTACCAACCAGCATGTCGAAATTGTCGTTCTCTGATCGGCACAAATGCTATGTTGAGATGTACAGGTCGAAATGATCGGACCTCACATAAGCAAGCGGGCACTACTACATTATCCTATGAGAACCATGTATGTGTGTTTGCTGACCAATATCAGTCCTTGCCTACAACAGAAATGCAACCGGGCACTTACTTGTGTTTGTCTAACTAAAAGTGAGTGAGATGCTAATGAAACATGCACTAGTAGAATCTATCGTCAATTTGGACGACATTTCTCGTGTAATTGTCATTTATGCCCACACAAGCGAGCGCGTGCCAACCAACTAAGAATTCTACATCAGGATGCAAAAAGTTAAATGATTGCATTTTTAGTCCTAGCAGGCACGAAGCTTGGGAACGCCGCAACATTTGGTCGTCTGGATGCCGCAATGCGCGGGTGTCGGTACTATCCGCCAAACAAAGTTTTGCGTGTCTGGAGATCAACTTAGGGGCTTTTGACTAGCCCTTCGTTCAGTTCTTGGACCTTTGTGATGCCTAGAGCTGATGCTATGGCACACATGCACTTGCGACGAAAGATGTGCGCCCGTTATAGACGCCAGCTCTAAATTGGTCTATTGTCCAGTGTCAAACTGCCTGCTACATTTTTCCGTGTTCGTCAACATGACTAGGGCATCATCAACGGCGTTCAGTCGGCCTATCTTTGGAATAGCAAGATGGGACAAGTAGCGTCGAGCAATGTGCATCAGCCATGACTTATAATTCAAGTTTTATAACACAAAGAGCTGCGTGTTGAGACGTGAGGAAGATATGAAGGCTCCAAACATACAGTCTCGACACGATACTACAACTTCATCGTCGTACTGCCTGGAAGGGAGAACTGACAGTGTAGTAATTGTTGCTGTCCGAACCGAGTCTACACTACTTGAACAAGTGTATTCCGCTTTGAAGTTCCATGATGGTCATGCGAAAAGCAACAGCCATATTGGCATTTATTTCATCAACAGAAAGCACAGCAGATCCACTTTTAACCACAATTACCGGGTCCGTATCAACCTATCATTAGGTGAGCATGAGCAAGACTGGCACATTACAGTTTACGCATTGCATGCGGAGCTCTCATAGCAGTACGAGACATGAGTGCTTGAATATTCTTACCATAAAATGCTACGCCTTCTTGTTCACAAATCGATGACCACTTGCAGTTTGAGGGCTGATACCAAAAGCGAAGCAGCTTATAAACTGTTGACTCCCGCTACAGAGCAGTGTTACGATGAGAACGCACACCATATGCTGACCCGTAATGCTCATGTGAAAAAGACGTTGACTTCCTGTAGCGTGCGTACTCGCTACGATATGTCGTCTGGTACCAGTGACTTCATTTCCTCATTTTTGCATGCTCGATGCATGCAAGAAACACTTGCCAGTAACTTGGTTGGTCGTGACATTTTGATGTCGACATTCGCACAGCAATTGTACAATGTGTAATAAATTGCATACCGATGCTCGTCTGAAGAAGATGCCAGCTTAAATGATGCTACGACTCCTGCTACAACGACTGGCATCACCCCTGGAACTACGCAAGCTGGTTGCTGTGTAATGGATACACGGTTCATAGCGTTTGGATAGCGTGAAATTGTGCGACGACGGAAACGCTAGAAAATTGATATGCTCGAAGGGAGAATACAAAGCAAAAACTTGTCATAACTTCACTGCAACTTTACCCCGACTGTGTTGGGTCCGTGTCCTGATCACCGATTTCCCGGTTCGTATCTGTCAATTCTTGGCTTCCATGCTTTCGTCAGACCTAAACGCGTACATGCTGACGTACTCAGGAGTTGGTAGAGACTTATTTACCTTCACAAAAAATTGGTAGAAGTTTCTGCAATTTTAAAGATCAAGTTTATGGTAAGCCAGAACTCTCCCTGACGTACTTCGTCTCTGACAAAGGACGAATAGATTTCGTGCTCTCGGACGGAGAAATAGATCTCAATAACATCCGTATCATGAGGTCGGCATGACGACGAGTGCCAACAAGTATTTTACGCTGCAGCGCTCCAGTAGCTAAACATTCATTAAAAATGCAGGAGTAGACAAAATTTGTCCCCTTGTCATCTTAACAACTGCAGACTAACCTGCTGCTAATTACAAAGCTTAGCACTCACCATTTTCCTGCCTCGTAGTATACTGGTGATGGATGCAGTGTTCTGTCTCCCTTGTTCGTTATTTCGGTTGCTGCTGCTGGAGTTTGCGTTGCTTGTCTCGCTCGGCTTTCTCTAGTTCGAAGCGTCTCAGATCCAGACGCTGCAAGAACTCTTGCTTATCGATGTAGCTGCAAAAACACCCGCATACGATCATCCTGGTCAGCGTCATTCAAGCAACAGCACAAATGCAGCTCGTACCCGTTCTTCGTGGACTGCGTCAATTCCTCATCAATGCCTTCCTTCTCCTTAAACTTGTCCCAGTCAAACGATGACTTCTCCATTGTCGACACCTTTTTTGGCTCAGACAAGGCGTCTAGCACCTTATCCAAGCTTTTCTTTCCATCCTTCGCTTGTGGCACAATGGTAGAGACACTGTACTCCTTCCCAGCAAATTTGACTACTCGATTCACCTTTTGCTTCGACGTCCCTTCCGCCAAATCCGTTCGCGACCTCTTCCCATCGACGCTCAAAACTGGCATCGAGAATTCGCGTACAGCGTATTTCTTCCTCTTCAATCTGCTAGTTGAGCTTTTCGTCTTTTTTGTCAAGCCAGCAAGCAGCTGTACCACAAATTTGTCAGTAAAAAGTAGAACGTGTTTTAGTGTCCACAGTAGTTATATGGAGGACCTTTGTCGTCTTGTCCACAGATTTTTTGGACACTGCAGTGGACACATTCATGTCGTCCCAGAGTTTGTCCACGTGAGAGGCGACTGCGACACGGCGCTGCGCTTCGGAAGTGGCATCGGTGTCGGATGCGTCGGCGTTTTCTTGTTCATCATCTTCAGAAGCAGCTGTGCACAGATTTTGAGTTAGCAAAGCATTGGCGTAGACGCAGCTGAACGAGAGTCAGCTAATGACCTTCTGGGACGTAGTCACCATCGTCTTCCTCGGAGGAGCTTGTCATGCTTTTGCTCACTGTATTGCCAAAGCGTTCGAACCGATATCTGATCCGCCGTGACCGGTATTTGCTTGTCATACCTTGTTTTGGTAAATTGTAAATACGCCATTGTGTCACTTTTATTTGATTGCGTTTACCCGAATGCAATCCTCTTTATATAAGGATTCTAAGGACTCGATCTGCATATAGCCGTAGATAAATCCCGAGGCGAAGCTGTTTACAGGGATCAGTTAGATTCTTTTCGGACACTTCCACATTGAGACGAGGTCACACAACGGGTCGACAACCGGTGATAATGCATGGGACGCAAGCTTAATGCAATGGCTGATGGAGGCACTACTGTAAGGGTGAACCCGAAAGGTATGGTATTAGAAATATTTCGCTCCTTATAATTTATAGTACTTTAACCGATAGATTTGCTAAGAACGACATTTAATGACAACTGACTGCCGTGTCACCCATCATCTTCTTCGTTACATTACGATTGCTTTAGTAGGTCATTTTGCATTCGTACAAGGTGCTTAATACTGCGTGCGTGACTATAGGTGTATAATATTTTAGGTACAGTTCACCTTAAATCAAAAGTAACAAGTCCGTTTGGACTTGTTACTTTTGAGCATCTTGGGCTTTTAGTTCCCTCGAGACTGTTTAATTTGTGATAGATGACACGAGCGCCCGTCCTGGTTTCTTTAGAACGGGTGGATCCTTAAGTCGTTGTGTTCAGTTCCGTAGAATAAAAGTTTTTTCAGTCTACAGCCTTCCTTCGACATTGTAGCAGTACAGATCAGCTACACATGTAACGGGGTGAGTTTATTTCATGTGATCAACTCTGATACTTGTTGATTGGAATATTATCATAAAGGTTGATAATGTTCGTAAATATTACCACAACGGGTAATATTACGAAGCACTCACTGATTGGCTGGTATGGACCATCACACCAGCCAGCTCTATCGGTATAATCGACGATGGACGCGCGCAATGAGTGGTGAGCAAGACTTTGGTATACACTTTTGTAGATGAGTATAGTTAAGTTAGGACTAAACATGGGTATTTGAAATCAGAACTAAATAAAATTATACATTTTCACTTTCTACTCCTATTGAACGCTTCGTTCACTAGCTAGCCTTCCTCTGCACGTCGGTCTACTTGAAGTGATGCGCGGCACTACCTACACTGTTGCCGGTGTAGGTGCACTAGTACTGAAGCAGTACTAGTGACCAGTGTCTCTGTGGTGGAGTGGTCATCGCTCAATTCTTGAGATGATCCCGACTCTCCACTGGCGCCCAGACGACCGACTGACAAAGGGAGTACTCCAATTCCGTGTATATCGCTTTCCTCACCTTGTGTATCCGTCGTTAGGGCGGGTTGCACTCTTCCAGGTGAACTCGTGTCGAGGGAAACTTGACCGTGTTGGGGATGGGTTTGTGTGATCGGGCGGAAATCTTTGCGCGACCACTGGGGTATCGGAGAGATAATGATATAAGTTACCCCGATCTCAACGATACCGCCTTTATTACTGTGCGGGTTCTTAATACACGAGCCTTCTGACCACTTGAGCCGTCTCGCGATCTTGTGCCATGTCTTTACGTGTCTTGCTGCTTCCGATCGCAGTTGTAGTTAGCTGAGAATTCTTGAACGCACCTGGCCAAACAATCCAGTTGCAACACTTATATGAACGGGTAACGCGACTCTTTATTCGTCGGGAGGCCAAAGGTCCTGCCCGGAAGAGATTTCGTGCAACTTTTGAAGTAAAAGACTTGATCTTTTGAAGTAAAAAACTTGCAAAGCTTGCTGACTTCTTTTTGCTCTTTTTTGGTACGATCCAATCGATGCTTCTGTATTTGCTAGACACCTTGCTAGCAGCGACGAGTCTGCCGTCTAGCTTATCGAGACAGTGATAAATTATTGCATCCGCAACAATATGGTAAGAAAGAAAAATGGAACAAGTCGATGTCCACAAGTGACTTACTTGTGTAAGTGAACATCATCTATGCGACCCACGTCTTTTCAAATCATCCACTCAGTACTCCAATGACTGTATTTATCCAGTATTTGTCTTGATCGAGATCAGTGTCTTGAGAGCCAACCAATCAACCCAAACCCTACCCCTGTGTCGTATCCGTATATCTTAACCGGATGCCATGCGTCCCCATTTCAGGAAGATCGTCCTGAGTTAGTGTGGCCCACACCAGGTGTATCAGCAGTCAAATCTTCTTGTGGTCCACCCGAGATATCACCAACATTTGACCTCGGATCGTGATTTCTAGGTGAGGCTGTTATACGACGGATCACGCATTTCAACTGGTCCAACTGTCATCTAGCCTTATCCCAAGTGATCCCGATCCTGCTTACTGGAGTCAGGTGCTCTATAGCTAACCACCTGTCCCAGTTTATGTCCATTAATCATAACGCTTTATACCTAGCTGAGCTGTGCAATCCGCCCAGTCCCCCACTCCAGCTGAACCGTTCTTTACTTGTGACCGCTTTGCAACAACCTTCACGTGCACCTCTAGTCAACATACGGTGTTGATCTGGCTGTCCAACTCTTGTGAATTGTTTCAGCTTTCCTCGCTTCCGTGTCCGCCGTCCAGATGGCTAATCACGTCTTCTCGAATCATGTTACTTCGCCAATTTTAGGATCGAGGTATCTCGGATCACCTCCCGCGATCCTGAATTCGGATACTTCAACTTCGACGGCTGATAGTCCTGCGGTACGGGTGCCTCTACCTTACCGTGGATCGAGTATAATAGCTTGGCAGTGGAGACTGCCAGAAGTCGAGATCCCTCCATCGGAGCCTCCTTCGGTCCTCACTCAGGACGTGTCCCCGGTCAGCGACAACCCAACTTTCCAGCCTTGGACCCGAGTGATCCTATCTTGCTTCCAAGGGGCCCGATTGAAGCGTCGAGCTTGGTTGATCCAGCAACGCCGAACCGAAAATCGTAGTATAAGAAGATCTGCCTCAACGTCCAAGAGATCCTGATCGGGCACTCAAGCAGGTGGTGGGTCTTCAGGTCGAAATGGGCGAGGCGCGGGACTCTCTACCTGCCCCATCCGCTGAATGTGATCAGTTGTATCGCACCGTACAAGCTAACGTAGCCGTTCGATATCGCATGGCCTCGCTGATGACTGGATGTATTTTCGCCGCCCCTGCGACGGTGGGGTCGTCTAACCCGTCCCTTCATCGAAGCCCACACAGCATTAGATGCCTCCAAACCATCCGCAAGCGACCTCGCGATATTCTACCATCGTCCGCCTTGCCGGTCCCCAAAGGGTGAGCAGATCTGTGACGTCTAAAACCTTCCTCGTGTCGCGATCATAGGATTGTTCGCGCTTTTAAGAATTTTTCCGCCTCCAAAGGTATTAGCAGTCTCGAGGGTTCTGCTACCCAAATTCTTCCTTTACCAAAGACGTTCGCGATCCGAAGAGATCTCGCGATCCTAAGGATTCTTGCGATTTTCGGCGGCGTGCGGCTACCCAGTGATTGGGCAAGCAGAGAGGTCGTGGTACAGCCTACCGTCATCTGAGGGGGAAAGGACATCAACAAGTGAGGATGCAACTCTGGCATATTTTTCGGGATCTCTGTCTTTAACACGTCGTCGAGCATCTGGGCTGGCAACACCTTTCTCGGCTGGGGATATCAAACTTCCATTGTCGTGGATACGACTAGTCCTCAGCGCGGTTCCCCGTCTCTATCTAGCCCTAATCGCGCCTCTGTGCCTAAAGTGTGTCGCGTAAACCTCTTCGGGGAGGCTTCGAGCGATTCGTACGGTGCGATCAGCCTCGCTGATACACCTCGGGTGTCGGTAAACGTTTTCTAACCTCTTCCGGATTACGATCGTCTGCCCCCACTAAAAATCTCTCGAAATTAGTGGATCTCCGGATACAGAGATCATGAACCACGGTTTTAGGCTCACTTTTCTCCTTGATCAGCGCGCAGAGTCAGCTGGGCTAGTGTCGCGGAGTTGGACGACGATTTCTTGTACCGCCACCTCTCACGTCCTTAAAGGGTTTATCTTCCGATGATACTTGTGCCCAAGAACCCTTCTTCCTTATCCGAGTGGACACCTCGGCTGACGTGTTTGGCCCAGATCGCGGCCTTATACGCCCAAGAGCCTTAAGAGACTGCTGCACATCGGATCGCACCGATCTCTTTTCCTCGCATAGGGTGGTTCGAACAACTCGCCACCCTGTATTTCAAATCCGAGGATAGAAATCGACAAGCGTTGTGAAAATTGACACATGCAATAACCCTTTTCGGCGAACAGCGGGCCAGCGACCTTGAGCTAGGTACAATCTGGAAACAGCGGAAACAACGTCTTTCGCGAGCTGAGCCCCGGTGGAAGAAGATCCTTCGATTCATCTTGGAGGGTACGATCACGGGTCAATGCGATCTAGAAATTATGCCGGACCCATTCTCACTACACTTTCCTTCCCACCTGGAAGTGACCCCATAGTATTCCGGCTTGGAATGTAAACAGAAGCAAATTCCCAACTTGATATCGGCTCTGCCGCAGCTGGATATAGCTGAGCCTTGGCGTATTTAGTTTCGGTCCTCTACCACTGATCAACCCAGATCGTCGATCGTACGTCTGCCTGGCACGTTCTTTTCCGCGTGATCGCTAAAATTCGATTCACATAGTATCGTAATTTAATACAATTTCCTTCAATCCTTCATCTTATTCTTCGTCGTGAAAATAACTTCTTTTCTTCGGCTTTTCGACCGCAATTGGACCCTTTTAACCCTCTATCGCCACTTAATTCACATATAGCCTTAGTTCCACCATCTTGTGCGACTTCCTTGCACGTATACCCATCCACCCGCATATTCTATCTCCTGGCACATCTTTCAACCTCTTCCATTGTATATGCTGCCTCCCAGCATATCCAACCAGACCATTGAGGGTCGTCTGATCTTTCCTCTTGTGACTGCATTACTTCGAGACGGTTTCGAATCAATCGGTTTAGCTCAACTCTTGCAAAATTTCCAACTTAGATCGGCCTC